ACCGACCAAGAATTAACATAAGAAAATTCTTGAAATAGGCAAGAGTCATCAATTCAAAAACTGATTTATGCTGCTCGAATAATATGCTCCACTACAAAATATTTAGGAATCGATTATGTGGACACTAAAAACTGTTCATGATAAAAAAAAAATGGATGTCTTAAGCCGGGCAATGACCGCGTTGTATGGCAAATTCGACTTTATTCCATGTACAAAAAAACACACTAAATTTAATTTACAGCTTACAATGAAACTAAAAATCACATTATTTCATGCTCTAATAATCTCTTTACATATTATTTCCTTTTGCCATGTTCCCTTATGAGTTTTGGTGACGAAAAGGGGATTTTTTTTTTCTTTATTGTTGTTGGATTTGGCACCACCTAGTACGGGGCACAGTATGAATTCAAGAGAAATACAATGATCACTAACATTGGTTGAATTGCATTGTTGTATTAAAGTGGAGCCATTCCAAGAAAACTGGACAAAACAACAATAACAGATGGAGGATATCGATCGAAAAAAAATGTTGAAACAACAACACTCAATCTGTCTCTTATACACATCTAGATGATAATAACATCCCCGATTATAACAAATGGTACCTTATAAACTGAAAAAAATTTTTATCCACAGTGAAAAACTGCATTTCTTGAAGTATGACAAATAAAATAATAATCAAGTTTTGCTTATTAAGCGGTTTGGCGTAGTAAGAACGGTTTGGTTTCCTAACCTCGAGGTCGGGTTTTCAATCAATCGCTGTGCATTTCACTTGTGTACTTGAACAAGGCACTTTATCTGCATTGCTTCTCACCCCCTAGGAGTATAAATGGGTACCTGGTGGGGTTGCCGGATACTGCGCCAATATGGCAGCAACACTTAAACATGTGGACCCCATGACCAGGGTCGACAACAAAACACTTTGTAACCTGACGGAATAGGAGATATATAAATACTGAAATGACAATATAACAAATAATAATGGGAAAAAAAAGCTTTTATGTGTTTCATATCAGGGAAAAAAGTGTCTCCATCCGCCATCATTCTAATGTGTTCGCAAATATGATTATCAGCATTATAACATCATCATCACTATTATCAAGTATTATCCATCATCATTCTAATGTATTCGCAAATATGACACATCACTATCATCACCATCATTATCATGTACAGTATTGATAATATTACTATCAAATACTCATTTGCATATCATCGGTTCAACAGGTGTACCTTACCTGCTGTGACAGTTTTTCAGGTGGGATGTTCCATAGTGATTGCAGGTGTGAGTTGAACAACTTGACTTGAGTTAATTTTGTATTTAATAGCACCTCTGAAAAACAAAATTATTTAAAAAAAAACTGATACCATATATGCGATAAAATAAAATGAAGTTGTTGAACATTCTCATAGTTCCGACATTTACAAGAAAATTTTCAGTATTAGAATCAAAACACTAAAGACAAATGCGATGCATGAATGCCCTGTATCTAAAGTAGGGAACTCGGACTGCGCCAGATGGTCGTTGGCCGGCGCGATTCTATGTCAAAGGCAACGCCATGTCGTGCGTGCAAAAGGGATAATTTTTAATGACGTTATCCATTCAGACTGCCACCGAAAACCAGTAGACGGTGTTATGTCATCATGAACAGTTTTTAGAATCCACATAATCGATTCCTAAATATTCTGTAGGGGAGCAGTACGAATCCATTTTTAAATTGATGACTCTTGCCTACTTCTTTCAATTTTCGAAAAGAACCCAGGACTTCAATTTTCGAAAAGAACCCTGGGTTCTTTTTCGAAAAGAACCCAGGACTTGTTTACTTAAGTTTAGCCAAATTATGCATTATTAATCAATAACTGGGTTATGTTATATAAACACTGTTGTGCTACGTGACAAATAAAACTGAGTCTTTCAAGGGTCAGGTATTCTGTGAAAAGAGAATGCACATAACCGACCAAGAATTAACATAAGAAAATTCTTGAAATAGGCAAGAGTCATCAATTCAAAAACTGATTTATGCTGCTCGAATAATATGCTCCACTACAAAATATTTAGGAATCGATTATGTGGACACTAAAAACTGTTCATGATAAAAAAAAAATGGATGTCTTAAGCCGGGCAATGACCGCGTTGTATGGCAAATTCGACTTTATTCCATGTACAAAAAAACACACTAAATTTAATTTACAGCTTACAATGAAACTAAAAATCACATTATTTCATGCTCTAATAATCTCTTTACATATTATTTCCTTTTGCCATGTTCCCTTATGAGTTTTGGTGACGAAAAGGGGATTTTTTTTTTCTTTATTGTTGTTGGATTTGGCACCACCTAGTACGGGGCACAGTATGAATTCAAGAGAAATACAATGATCACTAACATTGGTTGAATTGCATTGTTGTATTAAAGTGGAGCCATTCCAAGAAAACTGGACAAAACAACAATAACAGATGGAGGATATCGATCGAAAAAAAATGTTGAAACAACAACACTCAATAGCTTATAAAGCAAATAAAATACTGAATTGATATAAAAGTTGCCCTTATAAAGGAAATTCATGAGTCAGTAGTTCTGTCAGATCTCAAATTGTTTCCCTTTAATTTCGCATTTCATATCTTCTTGGTTCATCTTTCACAATAATATATAACAAGTGAAGCAAGCTATGTACAGTTACTTAAACCGATTCATAGGAGTTTAAAAGCAATTGTTTTTAAGATATTATTACTCTAAGTTAATAAACTTGTAACAAATTTTTGGGGTCCTAATAGCGTACAAGTTCTTTCTATTTTAACATCAGGTATAACATCAGGTCTAAGAGACGTTAAAAAGGGCAATAGCAGAGATTTTATAACCAGGACTAGCAAATCAACACTTGCTTAAATACTAGTATCTTTCTTGAGAAAAACCCTTCAAAAAGTAATTTTTAATTTACTAGTCATTTACAATGACCAATTAATTTAACAAATTCCAATTTGATATACGAGAATTGATTTTATACAGCTGAGTTACAGCCAATAAAAAGGCCTACATTATGCCAAGAATTTAGAAAGAATATTACGGAAGTCCACTTCACCTTAGAGATCATAAATTATAAAGCATGGTTTTATCTTCGAGTGTAACCACACTTGGTTGGTTATGATGTTTGCCTTCCTTCCAATCCCAACTGGGTTAAATTCCTGTCACAGTCACATGATTTTTTTTTTTCGTAACCAAAAACAACTCTACTCCCTAAGCAATGCCGTAGCCAGGATTTTCAAACAGTGCCGGGCAAAATATCAGGGTGGACCCACTTTATGCGTAAATTCAAATAATGTGGACCCATTTTCTTAAATGTTGACCTATTCTAAATAAAGAAAATTTAAAAAAAAAGAAGAAAAATCTGGACCTATTTTCTTAAAGGTTACCCATGTTGGGCTGAATATGAGAAATATAGACCCATTTTTCAAAAGTGGACTCATTTACGCATAAAACTGCATAATTTTGACCCATTTTTAAAAATGTGGACCCATTCTTTATGGACCCACTGGAAAAATTGGGTGGGACTGTCCTAACTGTCCCAATAACTGGCTACGGCATTGTCCCTCATAAATATTTTAGTATTGTAAATATTTAATTGTTTACACTTTATAAATTGTTTTAAATTTTTCTTTTTGTTTATATTAAAATGAAGATTTCATACTGAGAAGGTTAAATCAACTGATTTATTGCCTCATCTATTTCCCGTTCTGAATGATTGAATGTATATGTCAACATTAATTTAAAACACATTACACAGTATATTAGTATTGTAGGATTGAACTTCCTGGTATCTATTCACCTCATGACTTTATAATTCACTAGCAAAAAAAAATTATGAAATGGCTTTCAGATCCAATTAACAAGGAAACGCAGCGGCTATAATGCGCTTTATAACAGTGCAATTCCTGACATCGAAAGTTAATGTATTAACAAAAATACATAGGAACAAAACAAAATATAATATTCTATAGAATATCAGATAATATATTAAAGCATGTAAAAAACAATAAAAAAAACAATAACAAAAATAAATGTTTTTACTGATATATTTTAAGGTGCATGTTTGAAAGAATAAGAAGATAAGATTTATAACAGTGCATTTCCTGACATCGAAAGTTAATGTATTAACAAAAATAAAATACATAGGAACAAAACAAAATATAATATTCTATAGAATATCAGATAACATATTAAAGCATGTAAAAAACAATTAAAAAAAAACAATAACAAAATACTGATATATTTTAAGGTGCATGTTTGAAAGAATAATAAGATACTGATATATATAAATATATATATAAGTATATATAAATATATATATAAGGCCAAGTAAAAAAAATAAGTAGTTAAATTGTGAAAAAAAAGGTGGTTGATGAGAAACAGCTACTACTTTTTTACTTTACCAAATAGATGCATTGAAAGCAAAATAAAAAAAGCACTAGGCATGATTTGTACCATGTATTGTGTAACCATGGGTGTATGCAAGGAGGTGGGGGGTCGGGAAGGTCGTACGACATTCTCAACATTTTCAAAGGTCCACATTATTTCCAAAGATATTTTTTTCTAGGGCCTTTTCACAGTGACATAAATGAATAAACATTGATCAGGTACCAGCAATAAGACCTTGCCAATTGCGTGACGTAATCTATCACAATTCCAGCAAATTCTGAAACTGAGACTGCCATCCGCTTCAAGCTGGTGGCGCTGTAATCAATTTTCCTGTCTTCCACTGAAAAGGTCCAAAAAATCATGATCACGACCCACCCAGAAAAAATCCTGGATGCACCCCTGGTAACAGCAAACGATCGAGAGAGGAATTTTACTGATGCGAGTTAGCCAGATTTTCTTGCATTTCGTAAAAATGAAATTAAAAAAAATTGGTGAGGCAGAGAAAATGGATGTGCGAGGGGACGAGAAACTAGTTATTTTTTTTATTTGGCCTAAATTGTGATTTGCCCATATTTGGGTGTAATATGACATCACCATGCCCATATATGGGCACATCACACAAATTTGTCACATCAAATTTAATATTGCGTACAGAGGTTTATAGGATTAAATTTCATGATTCAAATAACAATAAACAGTTTAACTGATTTGAGCTATACTGGAAATTGTTATAAATAATCATCTCAATCATCTCAATATGCAGGTTTTCTTGGTATGAATTTTAATGAATGAAAAAAAAATGGTTTGTGGTGTGAATAGTTTATATGATGGAATGCCATGCTGAACATTCCAGATCAACCAACAGAAAAAAGAAACCTTTGTTTTAAACACATTTCTTCACTCTGTGTATATGTTATTTTCTAGAACATGGGATAGATTACCAATTGAGGTCATTGATTTGTGATCTTTGTAATTTTTAGTATAATTTCTTTGTGGAGAGTTTCCAGATAATAAATTGTTGATTTTTAACAGGGTGATATGAATATGGACATTTTAAACAAATAATTATTAACAGAGTATTGATTTTTTTCTAGAATTGTTATTTCTATTTTTTTCCCATCTACTGTAACAAGCAAAGGTACTCATCAATTATAATGGAAACCAATTTTGGTATTTGCTCCTCTTACCTTGGACTTTTCATTAGATAACAAAACAAGGTTTTTTAAAAATATAATTGCAGTTTGTGAATGATAAATGCAAAACCTTGTTGTTGTCATACAATAAATGCGTGTGAGGTATGAATGAGCAACTGTTTAACTGTAATATTGTAGAATTACATATATCAATGTAGATATATTGGATGGATTTTTTTTCGGTGTAAACACTTTAGGATAACCCAGGAAAGTCTGAAGAAGACTTATTTCCAGTGGGGTCCTTCTTGTGGTGATTGGGCCCAGGCAGTACACTGGGAGACAATCCCTACTTTTTTCCAAAGAGTGTACTGTGATTTAACCCGCTAGATACCGTCTTCGACTGTCGAAATTGACCTCAAACCGAGAATTCCAATTTTCGACTGCAATCGAAATTTAGTGACTAAAAAATAGGTGGTTTTCAAATCGTTCTTCTGTTTTTATTTTAGATCTAATATGTCAGAAATTTTGAACACGCATGAGTGAAGCTTTTTTCTTTCAAAATCTGTGAAGAACTCACATGCGCTTATATAAAAATGTTTTTAGAAATATCAATTTGAATTCGTTATTAATTTCGAAAATTTTTCGAAATGGCCGCACAAGATGTGTACACCGCTGAGGAAGCGATTGACCTGATTTTTTGATTCAGACAGCGATGAAAGTGAGTTTTTAGATGTGCGAGACTTAGACGTGCCTGATAGCGATGATGACAGTGCGGCTTCAAGCAGTTCTGACGGCGGAGATGTTCTTGATGAAGATGAGCCTAGGCCTAGAAATGCTTTTGAATGAAAAGATCTTGCTTATAGTTATGGATGGTTGGGTAAACAAATTATATAACCATGTGGAATAGGAATGTTTTATATTTGTTTTAATTTTTTTTTGGCTATAATTTTTTTTTTTTTTGGTTTTTGCTGACGATTTATATGTAGCATTTTTCTGTCATTTCTATTATAATTACATTATATATATTATATTATATTATGAAAAAAAAATCCTAAAAATATAAATTATACATCAAATGAAAGCTTATTCTATAAGCTTTCTTTGTTTTTGAAACATTTTTCTGTATAATTTACAGAAAGATCCCAAAAATCCACCAGAACGACGTACACTCAAAAAATGCAAAAAACCTAGTTACTCTGCAAAAGAATCCGGTATTCAAGGGTTTGCACTACAAAAGAATCCGGTATCCAGAGGGTTAAGATGTGTAGACCATGAGCCATAATGCACACTGGACCAACGGCTTAAATGTCTCACCCAAAAGACGGTGCACTATTGTAAATTGCACTTCAGCCCTCTAGCTGAAACACAAGGAGAGGCAGCGATGGGAATTGAACCGGGGACCTAGAGATCTACACGGTTCAGCACACACACAGTGGCTACCGCCAGATTAGCCGACTGAGAAACCTGCTCTCATATTGCCCATTTTTACAGTAAACTTGAAGAAAAACATAAACCTCTGTAAATATCAAACAGGCACACATAGCACACTCTCCAAAATTAAGTAAAACAAAAAAGTTGCACCATGTTTGCAGTGTGGTAGGCCTACTTTGTTTACTCATGGGGCCAGTTCAGAACCAGAAATTGGTCAAGGATATATTTTGCCAGGTAACGCCAAATGATGGAAGGGGAGAAGGTTAGTCCTCCACCTATTGTGGGGTCCTATGGGGCTACACTAGCATTTTTAATCTCTTAATAAAAAGGAATTAACACTTGGTTAAGAGATTTTTTTGGTTGCTGCTGAGCATGGGGAGCAGGGAAGGGGACCCTTTGCCATCTTCTGGAACCCCAACTGAGAGAATTTCATATCTGCTAAATGACAATGACAGTGTCTTTTATGAGAAAACAACAGTTTAAGTAAAAGTACAGAAGGTAATGCAATTTTTAAAGAATTGCTAAGAAATATGTGTGTAAGAAATAAGTAAAAAATGGGGGGTTGCCAATACTGTGATAATGATTATCAAGAATTTAGGATGATGATGATGATGGTTGAATATAATACAGTACGATCATCACGAGAAAGGAGCATACAGGGAAATTTGACCTGCAAAGCATAGATCAGTCATGCATACTGAAGGCAGTTAACCTGCTCGAAATATGAACCATCACCTCGAAGGGTAAAAATTCAGTTTATTAGAACTGCATATTTACAGCAGTACAAACCTGATATAAAGCCAACGGTGACATCATCAGGCAAACGAATTCTATTGCACACACTTTTAAATGTTCCTCCTCTGAAATAAAGAAAATACACAGATTTTAAATGATACAAATGCAGGACAGAATGTCTAAATTAAGCACATTTAAGATGTTTACTGAGAAAATTACTAGCAGTCACTGTCTAGTCTAACTTTACCTGGTGCAGATAGGCTATCACAATAATATATTAGGCCTGTTTTCAATTCAAGTACTATATTCAATGCAGTATTAACCTACCAGGCTTTGACAAAATCAATTGTTTGTAGTTGTTCATAATATAGTTATGGTTTAATATATAACCTAAAATAAGTGAGTAAACTCATTTTTTATAAAGACATACCATGAATTCCCAAAGAATAAAATTGAACAAATTACATTATATAATAGATGTATATTATATTTATCTTATAATTATATATTATTTTCAAAATTTATTATGAGTCTGAAAATGAGGAAAGTCCTCTCGCTGGCATATGCAGCTAACTATAGGAACAGCTATAAATTACCAGCAGTTAGCTGAATTTGCCATAGCAACTGGCCCTATGCCTCCATATTAAAAATGACCAACTAGTCCATATTCACAAAAAAACTACCCCCTCTACATTTAAGATATTACACAAGTCTATAGAAAAATGGGTTTTTTTCAATACTTACCCAGCATATGTTTTCATCTTCAATGCTAGAGCCTTGCTAAGACAAAATCCTGCACCTCCAGTTGCAAACCAAAATTTAACTTTTTTCTGAAGTATAGAATACAAAGAAATAATTAAAAATTTAAAAAAAAGAGCTAAAGAAAAGGTGGTTAGGGCAATTGGCACGGCATGAATGAGATGTCATGGCAAAAGATAGTGTGCATTCGTTGAGGCATGCACATGGTTGGGAACAGTGTGCAACCGCGTGGCTGGCATCACAATTTAATGCATAAATTAAACTTAATATTTTGGCTTGCCCCAAACTACTGTACAAAGTACTACTGTTTAGCTTTAATAGTGTAAAGACAACATTTATTCCTGGAGGAATTTGTTGATCAAAATAATTTTTATGGTCGGAGGCACAAAAATATTTTTTCCAGGCCTGCCTGTGCACTTGTAGGATGCAAGAGAATTTGATGATGATCCAGTGTTACTTCTCGAATATATACCTGCCATTCTCACACACTAAGTTATTAAATATTTATGACAGTTTTCGTGCATAATGTACATAGGCCTACTATGAAAATAAATGTATTGTATCCCAACAATTCGTACACGTACGGTAAATTGTGATTAGCGTACAAAAGCCAGACACTCAATGCACTGAACGACGGTCATGCGACCGTTAGCCATCGATCCAACTCCGTTCCCTGTAAACGCTAGACGACGAGACACCGTCTACTGGTTGTCGGTGGCAGTCTGAACGGATCACCATTAAAAATGATCTGCGCATGTGGCATGGCGTTGCATTCTCAGTAGAATCGTGTCAACCGACAATCATTGGCCACATTGAGTGACTGGTTTAAGAGGGCAGTTATTAGGTGGGAATCAACAATCATTCAAGCAGTATACACATGATTCTTAAAGCAAAGATCTTATAACAAGATAGCACACTCTTCGATTTTGTGAGGCCCCTGAGGTCGCCCATAGGCATGACGTCAGATCGACGTAGCGACAAACTGCACATGTGGTGTAGTGAATGCCTTCATGGTTCGATGTTGTTTTGTTCTGAATGAGTTACTATCATTAAAACCAGTTTACATAGAAGTATACACCTTGTATATTTTATTCATTTGTAGTATAGTGTACCACCAAATATGGCGCTGCGAGCAATTTAAGTTCATCCACATTAACTTGATTTGGCAACAGATAGGCTCAGATTTATGCACTTTTCGATTTGGTGTACTTATTTAGTAGGGTGCCATCTTGCTATTTTAAACAAGTACATTTCAACTTTGATACAAAGACCTCAGAAACTAAAGTTAGCACAAAATTATTACACAACCGTGGCAACATCTAGAACACGCTCTTTTAAAAACAAGTATTTTTATTGTAAATAATGTGTAAAACTCGTGGAGTGCACTTACTTGTTATTATAAGAGCTATGTATTATGTATGTAATTAAAACATCAACTAGTTTCATGCATAAGACACAAGATGGTTGCTATACAAATATAATCTAATTATTATTCAGGCAGAAGATACAAATATTTAATCTCAAGTCCTGTACAATGAATTTAGTATATGAATGAATGTTAATGTAAAATAATTATGTTCCAGAGGACGTGGCACAATGACGCTGACGCAAATCCATATACGTAAAATGAAATGAAAATATTTACAAAGCAAACATACATAAGGAATTACACAACAATATTCAATTTTTTGTAGGACAATGTATTATACTGTGTATATGTTGCACTGAGTAATACTATTTATAATTTAATAATAATTGTGTTTGAGTTCATTTGTTTATTTGAAGTACATTTCATTGTCATGCAACATACATTAAGTTTTAGACTACTGTATACACAGCATTCAAAGCTTCTGTTAATGTTTCCAAAACTATGGATTAATGTGTATTTGGACTATGTCTTTAAAGCTTTGGATATATGTCTAAAGTTTTGGATTAAAGTGGATTAGTGTCTCAAAACCTTAGGATTAAGTCTCAAACTAATAATTATTTCTTAGTTTATTATATATTTAAATTATATTTCATTGTCATTCAACATAATTCAGTTTGATTCAAAGTTTCTGTTTATATTTCCAAATCTCTGGATTAATGTGTCTATGGACTATTAATATCTTTAAAACTTTGGATAAGTATGTCTAAAATTTGGGATTACAGTGGATTAGTGCCTCCAAGCCTTTGGTTTAAGTCAGAAAATAAATAATTATTTTTTCAGTTTATTATATATTTGAAGTACACTTTACTGTCATTCAACATAATTCAGTTTTATACAAAGCTTCTGCTTATATTTCCAAGTCTCTGGATTAATGTGTCTATGGACTAATGTCTTTAAAACTTTAGATAAGTATGTCTGAAATTTGGGATTAAAGTGGATTAGTGTCTCAAAGCCTTTGGCTTAAGTCTCATAACTCTTAAAATGCTTTAGATTCATCAACATCCATGGCTTAGTATCTTCAAAATGTTGGATTACTATAAGTAAATATAGCATCAAACATTCTATTTTTCTTTCGTTTGCTGAGTTGGAGTTGCTATACTAGTGATTTATTCAACAACCTATTGCGAAGAAGGCTCTAAGAGCAGAGCCAAGTTTTAAAAGTAACTCTATCACAACAATCCATGTTATAGATAAATAATTAACTACAGTACAATAAAATTACAAGTAAACTGAAATGCTTTAAATAAATGTTGTCAAATAATATAAAACATAGTGCAACATTTTTTTGCAGGAATTAATGCCACAAAAAATGCAAAATAAGTTTTAAAAGTCTATCCTAATCACACATTCAAAAACAGGTTCAAACCCTATTAAACTTTTATATTTCATCAAATTATTGCAATTAAAATTATCAAAGATAAAAATGTTGATAAAAAAAGAAGTTACTTACCAAATCTGGACTATTTCTATCGGTGGCTTCTATTGGGTGGCTGAGACTTGTCCTGCCCAAGTACACATCATCTGTATGCTTATAATTGTTTAGGAGTTTCACCAACTGATTGACATTTAGGTAGTTGTCATCATCAACATGGCAGAACCATCTTAAAAACATTAAGACAATATTCAACAATATCAAAATAAATAAAAATAATATTTTAATATATTTAAAAAAATATATTTCTCATCTAGGTTTTTCTTTCTTCCTAATACAAATATAGCCAATGCACACACTAGAATGGTTGTAATTGGTCACCATGATTTTTGTACTTATTCCAAAATTATGTTGGTGTTTCGAATTTTTAAAAATTTTGTAAATCGAGACATTTTTCATAGGCTTTTTAAATATTTTTCATATTAACAGAAGATCTGACAGACAAATTTAATTCAGGACAATCATTTTAAAGAATGGTTAAAGGTGTTCTAGATATACAGCACAATTCTTTCGTATGATGAAAACACCTGCAAGAAGGCCACAGATTTTAGATTCAACCCCTATTAATCTGTCATTATATAATTACTATTGCTATTTATAAAGAACAATCTTCATACCAAATTTAAATACCATAATTGTTTGATAAACTTTATTACAAGAAATTCTAGGTTGGTGGCTTAAAAAACGAGGAGACCTCAAATAAACTCAAATAAATGCATGACCGACTTGCACTGACATTTCACCACAGCCAGTATATAACAAACATCAGCAAATTTATCATGAAATAAATGAAACTATTTAGAAAAATAAAGCGGTTTAATCTAGTTCCCAGAGGTCCTGATCTTAAAGCACGCGCATGCTCCCGTACACAGAAAAGTAAGTAACAGTTTCGAAATGAGAACAAGAGCAATTTTAAAACTCATAACTCTCTTGATTTATTTTTCAAATTGAGGTTAACTTGTCAGCAGGCATTCCAAGTTGGATGTAAAATGAATAATCCCCTGTGAGAGCCCTGCCACTCGGCAGGGCTAATCTCATTTTTCACCTCAGTGTAATTAAAATTTATGTTAGCTGTGTTTGGCATTTTGTAACTGGTAATTGAGTATCAATAATCATAAAATAATATCAATATTGTAAAATTAGTTATTTACAATAGTGTATTAATGCACATTCCATATATGCCCTTTGATTAGAAAAACAGGAAGGTAGGTAATGTGACCAATAAACTTAAATTAACGAAGTGGACAAAGGATGAAGTGTTCTCATTGGCTACAAGACTGTCAGAGCCTAAATTTTTGTCAAGGACTACAACAATGATTGATAATGGTGATGTGGATGTTTACAGACTGAAATGTCCTTTAAAGTCAGAAATGCTTTCCTTATACTTATATTTCAATAAATAATCTAATGTCTCAATCACCATCATCATTGTGGCATTTTAGTTTACTTTTTTAGGGCGTGTTTCTACTGATAACACAAAATAATCGATTTTTTAAAACCGCTTTTTTAATGAGTACTAGACAGCCTGCTCACGTTGCAACTGCATTTTTTATTTTTTGAAAATCGGTTTTTGTGACGGAAATTACGTCACCATTTTGTTTATACAACACGTTGTTTTCCTAACTGTATAGGATAGTATCTTTCTCATTTCTGTCATGATGACGAGGAGTAAGATACTGTGTGGGGCGAAAAGGCAAATGTTTTCGGCTGTGCTCGTTGGCACAATAAACAAGCGACCAAACGAGGGCATAGGCATGAACAGGAGGACAAATTTTTTTGAAAGTTCGCGCCTAATACGCTTTAGTCTTTGCAGTGATTGACCTGAAGGTCACATTTCACCTGATAATCGCTTTTTTGTGTTGCAGCTAAAAGGTGCACAGCCAAAAAAGGTTATTTGCCATTCAAACACGCGATCCCTTGCATGTTTTTAATCGATTTTTTTAATCGCTTTTTTCAAACTGGTCCCGTTTCTACTGCGATAATAAAAGCGATTTTCCGAAAAAGCAATTTTTAATCAATTATCTCTTTCCAGTAGAAACAGGCCCTTAATCCCAAAAGATACAATTTTTCAGTGATGAATTGTATTTATTTAACCAAACAAACAGTGTAAACCACAATGGTAATTATAGGAACATAAGAGACCATGTGGAAGGTTCTAGATGTTGAAGTACTAAAAGCAATTTGCCTATTGGTTAATTATGATGTAATGTGACCAATGAGGAACTTAGGCAATATAGAATGCTCTGGAGTTATAGGGCTAATGTATATAAGGTGAGAGTTTGGTCTTTTGAAACACATGTTCATGCGAATGTTATTGTGTTGTTTTGAGACCGGATTCTTGTTGGAGTTTATACAGAATAAAAGTTTGTATTTTATATGTTAAAGAGGGATTCCTAGTCATTTCTTTACCGCTCGGAAATACGTCAAGTAGGAATTCATGACAATGATATTAATGATGATGATGATGATATTAATGATGATGATGATGATAATGATTATAAAATGATGACTATATGGATGATGATGATGATGATGACAATGATAATGATGATTATGACAACGAAGCTGTTACAATGTACAAGATTATGAATAATATAAGCCCACAATATCTTATTAACAGATTCAGTTCTAAAGAAAACCCACATAATACCAAATCTAAAGACAAACTTTATCTATGCAAACCTCGAACTGAATACAAAAAGAAAAGTTTCACCTATCATGGATCAAAGTTATGGAATTCATTATCAGAAGAAGCAAAAAATGCTAAAGATTTAAAGAGTTTTAAAAATATTGTGTGAAAACCTGACCAGTTTTTGAAACCGCAGATTTTATTATTTCAAATTTGAAATTGTTTAAAAGTAGTATTTAGTTCCAAATTTTTACAGTTGGTAGGTTTTTACTTTTCCATGTTTGTTTTCCCTTTCTTTTATCATATCAGTAGTTTAAGTACACGGCCTCTTGGAAGACCAACCTTTGTAAAAAGATTGAAATGAGTATCCGTGGATAAATAAAGTTATTATTATTATTATTATAATGGCAATGACCATGCGATTTATGATTATAAGAAGATAATAACTTTAATTTAACCAGATTACACTATAGTCCATTCCACACCCCCACCCCCCAAAAAAAAAAAAAATCTGCCACAGTTCGAATTTATTTAAATCATTAAAGCAGCCAAAGTCGAATTCTGCATCAGCAAAGCGAGAAGTGGTTCTCCTTGAAAATGTTGAGTGGAGAACACATTCAAATAGAGACTTCCTACTAGAACAGCAGAAATATGTGCCAAAGATCATACCAAATGCGACATTGAATTAAATGAGAAAGCAAAATGCAAACAAGGCCTAAGCAGATATACTGTAAGCAAGTTATTTTAAGTTCATGAAAAAACCCATTTCAAAAATAAATGTGAGTTTAATTCAATCAAACACCATCTGACTTCCTAGATAGATTAGGCAATAAATACAATTATTTTACATCCAACAAACAAGAACTTGTTAAAAATTCAGCTCTGCTCCATGAAGTCCATTTACAAAATACCTCACAAGAGACCAATTTATCAAATTGATTGCTATCTAAACATCTGGGTGTCAACACTTGCTCATGGGGGTCAGGGCTTAGGTTTGATTCAACTCACTTTACAACATACGCTGGACATATACAGTAGACTTGTTGGGACAAGCCTGATATCATGCCATCTGGGCCTATAAATCATCTTATCGTAGCCCTCCCATAGGAGCATTTTAGGGCAACAAAGAACTATTCATTGGGCCTAGCAGTAGAAATCAGTGTCTGCATGTTAAGACATGAACTTGGAAGTTTTTTTGTTTTTTTTTATCAACTTTATCATTCAATCAAAGGGAAAATCATGCCTCAGTTTAGAAACATAAATTCTTCACTACAATTACATACATCATTATAACTAAGGCGAGATTTAAAGATCGGCGGAAAAAAATAAAAATAAAATTTTGCTTTCTTATGTAGCAAATGGTTTTGTCAAAAACATCCAGATGGAGGATAAAATAAAAATAAAATTTTATTGGTGATTGTGGATGGTTAAATGCTTTAGTTTATATATTAATTAGTAAGAAGTATATTTATCTTATTTTTGGAGATTTCAAGGCAGAGGTGGGAATAATAAATATAAAGAAAAGCTTTTATTTTTTTCTGAAATTTGCATTTCTTCATGGCGACGGGTGCACTTATTGGCCAAAAACAAAATTTAATTTTTATTTTAAATCATTATGGATGGGCAGACGGGTGGTGGGTTCGCAAAACAAAGTATATAAAAAGCTTTGCCTAACACTACTCACTTGAAGATGAAACAGCTTCTTTGTGTTCAAATGTTTTGTGTTAAGTTTATATCTTGATATTTATAAATCTAAATTTGTATGAGCATTCCACAATTAATTACTTTAAAATTAAACAATTTTTTTGTTGTTGTTCTACATCTTTATTAATAATAAAAAACATACCTTTTGTTAGATTCTAAATACATATCATACATGGCGGCCATTTTACAGCAAAGAGCTTGCCTGAAAAAAAAAAGAACATATTTCTGAAATTGTCAAATTACTGTAATAATAATGTCATTTGGTATAAAAGTTCAATAACAAACTAATGCCATGTGTTCTAAAGTTAGGAGGTAATTTAGTTAATTCCAAAGTTTTACTCTTTTGTATTTAAAAGTATAATTCTATTTAAGAGGTTAAAATTTATTTTAGGTGTAAAAATGGGCGGTTACGCTCCTTTTCCCCCAGTTATTCAAAAATCTGTATCTTGTTCACAGTTCCCCAATTTTTCGCCAAACAACTTTTTTTCTGTCTTAGAAAAATCAATTCTACAACATAGCAACAATTTTTTTTCTTCCATTTAGAAAATGTCTAGTAAACCTAATGGTACTGTCATCCATTCTGCTAGACAGAAATATTTAGAGGAATGTCTTGTTCACTGATAGTTTCTTTATGAAAACCGTGGTACCTCCATTCCACAATCCACACACATGATGATGAAAATGTTGATGAAGCGAAATGCGGGTACATGTCTTGGCTTGATGAGTACAGTACTCTGACAAGCTAATTCTCAAAATGTATTTCCCACATGGAAAACATTTCACTATAGATTTAAATTCTATTCCATTGCTTCGATTTTCAACAGCTGTTCTTTACATTTATATTCAACAACTTCTTTTTCATTCTTTATAGCTTTCAAAGCAGAAGGTTTTTGCAATCTACATGACTTCCGAAAATCAGGAAAGTATAGTTTTGTGTCAAAAACCATGGAGGAAAAAACCTCCATGGTCAAACGAGTCTTGTTAACAAATCAAGTATAGTAAAATTATAGGTGAACTGACTCAAAAATTTTAAAGAACAACTGAAGGTTTACATTGGCATAATAAAGTGCAAGAGTTTTTTTATAAACTAAACTATTTCATGCTATACTTGTTAAAGAGATTTTATTTGGTGGTGCAAGAGTGGATAAGAGAAGGGAATTTATTTCTGTTTTTATTGGTTGGTTTATTTATTTTTTATATAGGACTATTTATTTTTTGTTTTCCATTTATTTATTATTTCAATATACTGTATAGTTCTTTCCTGGACCCCTTTGGAAACAAACATACCGTACCTGTATGGGTTTAAAGGGTTATCCAATGCTGCTTCTGGTCTCATTTTTTTTGTTTTTGATGCGGTTCCTTGTCTGGTGATTTTTATATATCTGAATTTTGATGTTTTTTAATTCTGTCTTTGCTTGTGAACTGTCCGATTTATTTCTGCTGTATATTACATTACATTGCTCTTTGATTAATTGAATGATATTCTTTTGTGTATGTTAATTTTTCCTATAATTGCCTTGTTTTTTATTCTTTTTTCTTCAGATGTTAAGAGAGAAATCGAAAGATCCACTGATTAATCTTAGATAAGATAGTATAATACATACTCCAAGTATCGAAATACACGCCGTCTGTGTCAGGATTTAATATTTCGACATTAATTATGTCATCATCAGGAATGAATGAATGTAAGTAATAAATTAGTTTTAATATTTTCTAATACTAACCTTATTGACAGTTCGAAAAATTGGTCTATACTATTGTTTGAAGAAGCGTTTGCTATACGTAGGCTACACCCAATGGGCTGAAAGCTTCAAAGGAGCTTTTTTTGTATTTGTAAGTAGCTTTGATCAGTAGGGTAAGAATGCTTTGATCTTCAGTTTATTCATAACTATGTCACCTACTAGGGATAATGTTTTGAATAATTGGTCAAACACTTTTGGTACTTGTGCATATAAGCTTGCAAATATGGATAACTTTTCATTCCTGATGATGACATAATTAATGTCGAAATATTGAATCCTGACATCATGGCGTGCATTTCGATACCTGTAAGGGTTGGGAAATTATCTGGTAGAAGTACTGTATTTAGAGGTGAGGGATGGAAGTAGTTTATCAACCTGATCATCTGGTACATTATAGTATCGGCATATTCAGTATGAGGTTGGGATGTGTACTGTTTAACAACCTAAATATTTGATACTGGTGATGTGATGAGTGACATTTACCAATCTGACGATTTGGGATAGTGAGGTTCAAAACCAGGTAAATTAAAAAATCTGAAAATTGATATAAACTGCAAGTGAGGAGATATGAGAAGTCTGAAAATTTAGAAATGAATGTAAGTTTATATTAATCATAGATGAATGAATATGTTTTATAATGGGCCAATGTTCTCAAAAGTTAGTTATTCTAAAGGGAATTCTAGTGTCCAAATAATGTCTTCTGTAAACTGAATCTCTATTCACCTTGAATGCCTTGCGGAACAATTACTAACAATAAGATGATCACCTGTAATCAGAAAAAAAAAATATTAAAAATTTTTATCATTTAAAAGAAAAAATCATTATAATGAAATGTTACACACATTATAATACACACTGATGTAATTACATACTAGACATATTATAAATTACTGTACATGTTTAAAAATTACAGTTTATGTTTGGTACCTACAGTTCCAATAATTTTAATATCAAAACATGAATGAACATAAAAATATTCAAGATGTTGTATGTTGTTGGCATACCGACCAAGTGCAGCACATACTATTATTACTTGACACCAAGGCAGCTGCATAAAAAAGTGCCTTTTATGCCAGGAAAGATCGAAGGGTCAAGAAATCGAGGAAGGCCGAAACTCTGTTGAATCGATTAAATTCAGACCAACATTGGGTGTCCTCTTCGAGAAGTCTTAACACTCTTGCTGAGTCTTGTCAGGTTTGGCATTGCATCACAAAAAGTCACAAGCTGTCAGTCATGCGGCGACAAAACCAAACAAAAACAATATTTGAATTGCCTGTAATGGTATCCAATAATTTCAGTTCAGATAGGCATTATCTTGACAGTCTATAGCATATACTTTATGCATAGATTCCTAAATTGGCTGGAGTGCTTTAATTAATTTATGCGTTTTTGTAGTAGTACATGTCTGTAACTCAGTGAGAGATTATTTGTTACGACCTAGTGTATCATTAGTTCAGCAAACGAGCGCTTGAACATAATCTAATGATGTCACATTGGCATTAATCGTGTCATGCTGAGATTAGAGCGATTGAAATCTCCTGGGAATGGGTACGGTTACCCACACTGGCTAATTGCAACCTGTATCTTATGACACACTGGATACTCCATTACAACACCCACATAATCACATTCCAGTTTACTCGTGGCTCATTACATTATCGTATGCCACATATTACTGCATGTTAAACATTTTTATTCTATTATTTATAGTCCCTATTAAGCTCTGCCTATACTGTACTATCAAATTTGAAAAAAAAAAAGTTGTATGCCCATATATAATAATAAACCATATATGATGTGCAAATGTATATGGTCATAATGTGATGTCATCATGACCATATTTACTGATAGGCATGTCACATAATAATAACAATAATAATAATAATAATAATAATAATAATAATAATAATAATAATAATAATAATAACAATAATAATAATAATAATAATATAATTTATTGACTCACTCTTTTAAAGCAGAGGAACACTCTCACGCAGGAGAGGTTCGACCATACAACAGAACAAAATTTAAAAGTAAAGATAAAATTCATTAAAAATACAAAGAGATAATAGTAGTGAAATAAAATTTTCAAAAAACCAAATGCAATTAAAATAATATTATACTAAAGTTTAAAATCTTATCTAAAATGAAAAAAATATATAAATAATATTAATAATAATAAAATAGAGTAAATAAAAATAAATAAATAAAAACAAAAACATTTTTTTGTTAATTAAAATTTGATAGTCTGTACGGGGCTTTGGGCTTAGCATAATTTGTTACTTCTCCTTGATTTTACCACCAGATTGGTTTATTATTACTATACTGTAATTATACAATCTCCACCCCCTCCCGAAGGCAAAATAGTTCCAATGTGGGATAAAATACTACAAAATTACCATTTAAAGTTTTCATTGGAAAATAAAGGATTTATTTCTGCATCAGTTTCTCTGATTTACAGACTTTGTATGTGTATACACTATAATGCAATAAATGAATGGAATAGTTTAATTCCAACATAGAGGAATATTGGAGGTATCTACAGAAAACTTTCTTGGAATACATAGCAACTCGCATACTAAATATATTCTGCACTTTAACAGGAAGTAATATAATTTTCTTAATAGACTGCCATATAAATAATTCACACAAATTTAGTAACAATGGAATCGTTTATCAAACAGTACCTATGTAACTGAATATTGTATACCCCCAGGTAAAGATCAAAATATAACACCTAGCAGGCAGTTGAAAGCAAGGCTTATCATTCAGTGTATAGTTGTATGTTTGTACACATTCGAGAGGCTTCAGAATAACATTATTTGAGGATACGAATACATTCTTTTCAAATATAAGATAAGAACTAAAATTAAAAGATTGGGGTTTTGGTATATTATTTAATTCCTATCCAACAATCAGTAGGCTTAAAAACATGGATATTTATTTATTTATTATTTATTTATTTATTCAAACCTACAACCTTTAGAATTAATACTAGCCTAATATCATCTAACCACCACACCACGATAGAAATACATGTATCAGTTATATAGTAGTTACATAACATATTGCAAAGCAAGTATCAGTTAAAGTGCTATATCTTTAAATATCAATGCTATAATGGGGATATTTAGGATTTTAAACTGCTACTACAACCAGCTACATCAGAATAATATAAATATGTAGCATAATTATCAGACAATCTGCTACAGCATACAGTGCTACTGTATAATTTGCTTTTGGAGTGTTTATACCAATGCTAGGCTGAGTTCTTTGAGCTATAGCTATGATGTACCTCTGCTTCTTTTTATATTATGTTGATATGACCAACATTGTGCCGGTGTGCTCACCACTGATCTTGCACTAGCTGCAACCGACTTGTTGACTACTTTACAATTAATATATTGGAAAGGCAATGGAGTACAGAGGCTAAGAATGGATTATGAGGGACTTAACCCCACCCACCTGCCAAATTTATCAACGCTTTCTTATTCATAAACAGCTAATCAAGTCTTAACACCTGTTCTGGCACTTGCTTAATACACAATGCATATAATGATAACGTGATCTACTAGGAGCTACCGTAGCATAACTGCTAAAGTTGTCATCCATTTTATCTTCATTTTTAGAAAGTACAAAATACTTCTTTTTCTCTGACCTCCTTCCTCTGAAAGAATGCACTGATGATTCTTGTCATTTTGAAAACATACATTTTCTATTTTTATAAAATTGTTCATACACTCTGGTTTTTTTTTTTTTGGTTTTTTTTGTATTCTTGTGAAAATTATTTAAAAAATTGAACCCTTAATAGCTAAAAGGAGAGATCATTAAACGTATCAGGAAAGATAAATTTTTTTATTTTTTTTATTTTTTTTTAAATGTCTGGGCCACCGAATAATTAGCCATCTGATTTATAAGAATTGATGAAGAAGATTGTTCATCAATCATGAAATTAACTTCTGAAAATTACTACATAAAGTTTATGAGTTAACATGCCCAAGTTGATTAGCGGGTTACACCCTTCAACGACCTTCACCAGCATATGTTTCTTTATCTTTTTTTTACTAATTTTTTTTTTTATAATCTTCTAAACTGATGTCAATCCCGACTGCTCTACCAACTGAACTTTAGGCAAACCTGGTATATTGTGTTGCACTTTCCAGTGAGGGATCCAGGAATCCCAAATAAATAGACAAGACCCAGTGAGGCACTTTCTAAGGGTCTAGACAACCCCACTCCACCATGGTTTGGACTAAGGTAAAAATATTTATGATTCAATGGCTCTATTATTATTATCTGTAGATGGCCGGAAATGGCACTCTCAGAATTTGAATGTAATTTTCTTTTTTTCCTCCATTTTTTCTTTAAAAATTTAAGGGGAGGAAAATTTTGGGGGCACTGGTCTGGCTTTCCCCCCTACCCCACCCACAACTTTGTACCTGCCATTGTTTATATTCAAATTTGCCTTTTATTGTAAATAATCATACCTTTTGGATAAAAAAAAAATGTCACCCTTGGCGGTGGAGAAAATTTGTAAAGCAATTAAGTTTGCTTTTGTTTAATCCTGTCATTGTAAAGGGTGTTTTGTTTTATGTTTTTGTTGTATAAGGTTTATAAAATTGGACGAAATAAATGAAATGAAATTTGTAAAAACAAGTCACTGAAACATTTCATTTTTCCAAATATTCCCCAAAATACAAGTGACCCTTGCGTGCTGCCCTTCCTAAATCTCCTTAATCCCATTTCATTACCCACTACAGCAGGCCAATTTCCCATCTCCTCAGAATTACTGTACTAAACGGCAGTTTTATGGACTCAATTTAGTAAAACAGTCGATATTATTAAAACGAAAGTGAATGAAAATAAGTTTTAAAAAAGTGCAAATCACCTGCTTTAAGTTTGTACTCCTTATCCTCCTCATCAGTAAATATAAAAGTCTGAAATAGAGAACAAACATTTTGTAAGAAAAAACACATTAAAATACAATACAAGATATTTAATATTATTATTTAATAAAGTAAATACTAAGATCTAATGCGTAACTGGATCTAATAAAAACAATTTCTATGTTTTGATTTTCTGGGTTATTTCAACAAAAAACTCAAATATTTCTCCTAGGTTATAGCTTTATTATCTAATGAAATCAAACAAAGTAGAAACCTGTGTATTTTGATACCATGTTTTTGGTGTATTGTGAGCTAAAGTTACACACCAATACTGACCCCACTCTGTGCCTGGCTAATGTCAAGCCCAGCCATGCTTGAATCTACGACAGCTAGGCTTCAGGGGTGAAGCCACGGGCAAGACATACTCACTGATCGATTTTAAAATAACAAGCAAAGTTTTCAAACACAAATTCTTGACTACAATACAGTAAAAATGTTAACAAGGTAAATTCACAGGGAAAAGCGCAGCAACAGAGCATAGTAAAGATAAAATCCTGAGATAACACCCCTGAATTGTGTCGGCCTAACAATAACTTTCTTTGATATCATAACGCTTTGACGAACAATGTAAAGGCGATTAAAGTACTGTATGGGACAAAAGTAAGCAAGATTTTTAAGGAGGTTCTATAAAAACCACAACAAAAATAGACACGGTATACCACAGGCCTGCCATCAGTATATTTGGTACGAGCCCTCCCCTACTGAATACAAAATTGACTGATTTTGGGAGATGGGCTTTATTATATCCGGGGCATTCCCAATTCATTATAAAAAAATTAAAAAAACTTTATAGGAAATGGCCAATCAAAATGGAAATATCCAACACTGCAATGCATGCCTAATATTTAATGTTCTTTGTACAGTCATTTTAATCATTAAAATCATACCCCTGGGTTTTTGCCAGAGGAAACAATGGAATGGAAATGGATGTAAAGTAGGGTATTATGGGTTTATACTAGAGAACATGGTACTGAAAAGCAATGTAGTTTCTGTAAAAACAAGTACCACACACCACAACATAGCCACTAGACCAGTGTTCCGTAGCCAGCTATATTGATCCATGTACTATTGTGCACTATACAATACTTTTAAAGTGGACTTTCCTTTGAACACAGTGACTAGTTCATAAATTGTCAACAACATTGAAACCCTAGTTTACATTGTCAACAAAGATTCAAAAACTTAAATGGGTTTAATATGAATTTTAGTTAAAGTGGGTGAAAGGGATCACATTTTTTAGAATCTTGCCTGCTATTTTGTAGTCAACAATTCTTGTTTATAATGAGTTTTTAAATTGGTTCCAGCACAGTATACTATTGTACCTATACTGTAGACGGTTGAGATATTTTTATTTACAATTGTGTCCACATTTTAATGGAGTATAACAATAGTCAAAATTGGTTAAACTGTGTCTCTTTTAATGCAACACATTGTGGTACTATACAATGTGTATTTTTACTACCATTAGGCTAAGTAAACAACTAAATTGGCTTCTCTTCATTGCTTGCCTTTATTGTTGCCAATTTTAATAATCATTATATTCAATGTTACTGCGCAAGCATACTGTACCAACTGGGTCTAAAAAAGCTGATGGCTACAAAAAGGGTCTTCTTCCCATTTTTAACAATTTAAAGTGAAACTAATCTATATTTCTGGGTTTTACTTATGTTTCTACCAATCATATTAATCATAATTAAATAGTAAAGTGCTGTAGTTGAAGTGTTTTTCTCGTTGTAGTCTTCTGCAAAAGATTGACAATATCTTTCTAATCTTCACTCATCTCATTATATAATTGAAAATAAAGATAAAACCAAGGTTTATCTTTCTTAGAATCTTTTTTTTTTTGTTTAGTCATTTTTGGCACATATCCGGAAAAGTTTATTTTAGGCGGTTAGATCGCATTCTTTCTCATAATGGATAAATTAAATGGTCTACTCCAGACCTGCAGGCCCGGGCAGGTGTGTCTTGTCATTTAGTAGAGGGCAACAGGGGTTGGACATGCTGCGGTGGGCTAGCTTGGGAACACTGCAGAAGAAATTAACAAAAGATGAGGCCTAGCTCTAAAAATGGTCTTGCACATATACCAACAGTTCTGTAATTAAATGGTCAAATTTACAATTTGATAACTTCTAGTTAGGTCAGTTTCATTTTGAAGTAGTTCGTGGCATAAAAAATACCAAATGTCATGTTTGAAATTGTGTAGGCCTACTGTATTATTTACTGTATGTATTTATTAGCTCACGACAATGAAGTACATCTTATCTTATTAATTTTGTAGGCTGTAATTAGTGACCTTAAAGTAAACATACTTTCAATAATTCACTGTCTTACTCAAAGCAGTGGTGTATCTAAGAAGTCTTGGAATGGGGGTGCTGATTGGAGGCACAAAGGTGAAGTGTGGAGGACTCGATGATCAGTTGAGGGGCACTTTCGCAAAATAAGGTGATTTTTTGTGATTTTTAACTACTTGAAAGTTATTTTTGAGTGGCGGCTGGGTGGGGGGGAGCGGGGAGGGGGTATGAGTATATTTTTGGAAGGGGCGTGCCCTCCCTGCGCACCCCCTAGATACACCACTGACTCAAAGCATTATATGTATTTTTTTTCTTTGTTCAATTCAACAGTGTCTGACTCACTATTCTTCAGGACGGAAATAAAGATATGTGTTATAAATCAATAGTACAGTATACAGTCATTCTCATTACATGTGAACCAATGGTGTTGAACATATATGAGTATAAAACATTTGAAACATAAAGGATTTGGCATCAATAGCAGATGTCAGAAGGCAAGCATCTCAGTCACTGATATACAGTACTCTACCACCCTTCTCTGATTATTAATGCGGTGGGAACCCATATAATAATTTACATCATCTTAAAGAAATTCTTCATTTCTAGTTCAAATTTAATTAAATTGCATACTACTGAAAATTACCGAATGAAGCATGTATCTACTGCTGTCATGTCTGCACGATTAAGTAAAAACTAATCTTCATAAAATTTAATAGAATGATAAATGTTAAAGGTTATTCATTTATATTGCGCAAAATACGAGAGTCTCTATGTACAGAACAAAGTGAGCAGATGTAACTGGAAAACAAAAAAAAGAAAAAAGAAAAAAAAAGAAAAAAGAAAATCCATGATATTTGAAGAATTAAGAGATGATTAAATTTTAGGAAGGAAAGGTCAAAGGAAATATAAGTCATGGAATTTGATTTTTTTACCGTGAGCATAAAATAAAATAATTAAATGGCTCACCATACAGTATGGCCTTTTCTTGTTCGGCAGCAATAGGGTGAAAATAATGGAATCACCCATCATACACGGCCTGAGTATTGTTTAGTATTCAGACACAGGGCAGAGGTACGAGCTCTATGGATTGACTGTTTGACTAGCTTTATATACAGTACCATAAATATGATTTTAAAAACATGCTAAAAACAACATACTTTTATGATGGGCCGGTTTTCCTTTGAAGAAGCTCAGTCCTAATCCTATCAAAGTGAATTAAGGAAATGGTACTTAACATCAAGCCACAACACTATTGTGTACAATAGTAATTCAGACCAGGCTACACTACACTTAAATACTGGAGTACTTTATATTAATCTTTAGTTTTATATACTGCAATTCTTGTATTTAAATTTTTTGCTCATCATAGAGCCACTAGACAGTGATTTAGTTCAATTTTTTGGCAATCCTCTCCGGCCAATTAAGTGTTATTTTTGTTTGTCAGTTTTAATGTTCTTTGAACCAAATAAAATGAAATGAAACCAACAGTTATTCTGATGACGCAGACTATTCAACCAACTTAACATTTTATAGTCACAGGCAGGTGGCATTTTCAAAAGAACTTTAAACTAAATACTGTATATTATTCAGCATAAACCAGTTAATGTTATACACCTGTTTATGATCAGGGTTGTTGCTATAGAAACTGAGGGTGGGTAGAAGACATTTGAAGGGAGGGCGGGTGATAACATTGGTGAACTCTAAATGATAAGAGTGGATTTTTAGAATGGGCAGGAGGGAGTTAATAAAGGTGAGTGAAGGGTGAGTGAGTGAAATTAGTTTTATACTGGGTGGAAATCTTCAAGTCTGGGTGGCCCCGCCCACCATACAGTAACTACTGTATATCCCTGTTGATATTGATAATACTGTAATTTGGGTACATAAATAAGCAGTATAAAATTGATTTATTGAATAATTGATTGGTAAGGCCTACACAAACAACATCACAGCTTTTACTGTAAAAGTTATTATTATACTAAATATAGAAAATACAAAAAATATCATCATTGTATTACGTTTAATAGCAAAAAGCTTTTTCTTCCCAAATGATTTGTTGTAGTCAGAGATCAGCTTTGAAATATATTAATGTAGTACAGGCATATGAGCAATAATGTACCTAGTCATAGGCAGTATAATCTCCAGGTAAAAAAACGTAAAGCTCCTTTTATAATAAAATAAAGTTTGTTCAACGGAAGAAAAAAATGCATATAGCCTAGGGACAGGCATGTTAGCTTGTAAGCAGTAAATTGACTGTATGCTACTGCCACATTATGCTTATAACAGTACCACAACTTCAACCCTTACCTTTGAAAGCGTATACAATTTACGTTTTCAAGCATACAATAAATATTTTAGCAATCTTCAATGCGGTATAACAACATCTTAAAACTGTTTATTGCAAATGTATTTTTTTTTGTGTGTGACAAAACCAAAAAGCTAGCCAAAATTCCAATTCAATACATCATTGTCCTCTACATTACTGAGTCATATAAAAACGTTCTAAATTTGCAGAAGCGGATCTAGTAGGGGGGAACGGGGGTACGTGCCCTGTTTTGCCACTACATTTTAAAAATTTCAGTGCAAACCAAGGTTATGTGGTACTCAATTACCTATTCTGAAACTGTTGTGTCTCCCTGTTTGAAAAATTCTGAATCCGCCCCCTGACTTGAGAGGAAGAAGTGGGAACTTAACCAAGACATG